AAATGGTACTCAGCCAGCCAAGGCCGCCGGGAGGGATGGGTGGAAGACAACGGCCCAGCTTTTTTTAGCACAGTCGTGCTAAAGCGTTGCTCAGTGGAATAGCTGGGGTATTATTTTTAAAACACTTTTCCTGGAAAGCAGCATTTTACAGCCCAATGGGCGTGAGCTGTATCCCCACAGCAGGTTGGCACACAGCTGGTGTCTGGAAGAGGCTGTATACTGATTTTCTGTGCAGGCTGATTTAGGGGACTTGCGGAGAGAAGAGCATTATTTGATACTCCATGTTGTTTCCTGGGACCAGTGTGAGGCTTAGGAACAGTGAACTTTGTCCAACTTAGCATTTCAAAGCAACAAGTTTCTGACGTTCTTCTATACCTCAGGAGCAAGATGTCTCCCTCCATGTGGCAGCTGGATCTTCTTCATCCCACTTGTGATGTAGATACAGACAACCGGCTCCAGTATATTAAAGAAAATCACGGCACTGTCTTACAAATGTAGTTGTTCCTCTCTGGATGCAGCTTATTCTGAGGTAGAGGAGCTAGCTGAAAATTTTTTGGCTTGGTTATGTGCCTGCAGCAGTCAGAACAGGCCATCTGTGCTGCTGAGGAGCAGTATAGATGTTTCCCAGATCATACCCCGTAGTGACCATTGGTTTATATAGATGTGAATCACGAGCATCTCCTAGTGCTGCCTAGTGGGGAGGTGCAAGAAGAGCTCATCCAGCAGGGAACCCTGGGCTCTTGGCGAGTCACCAATAACTAATTTGCAGATATAGCTTAGGAGCTGTTGTATGAAGCTTTTGGTCATCTTTGTGTGCTACGTCTTGTATTTTGCACATTGGGAACTTTTTGTCAGTCCTTATTACCCAGAGTTACTTCTTCAGGTCTGCCACTTCTCCTGTAACTGTTTCTTCATTGGCTAGCCTAACCTCTCAACATGTCTTACACCAGTACTAAATCACAGCATGGTTGGAATACTTGTGTGATAGTGTCATCTGTAACTGTTGAACACCAGCAACAAGGAAATGAGCAATATTTCAAACTGGAGCAGAATGAGAACAGACAAAACAAGAAGGGATACTCTAAGCCTTTGAATCCCTAGCAGAGAGGTGGATATCCAAGCCCTGAGCCTCCAGAGAGCTGCATGTGCCAATAGCATGTTCTGTTTGAAGATCACAGAATCACAGAATGGCTGAGGTTGGAAGGGACCTCTGGAGATCATCTGGTCCAAAATGTCTTGGTGAGAGCCAGGACACAACTTCTCCTAGTCTGCCTAAGTCTTGGAGGGTTTCATTGGATTTGGTTGGATACAGATAATTTAATAAATGATACTTTCACTGTAATTCCACAAATACAGAGATAGTGGCTTTACAGCAATTTAAGTTAATTTTTAAAGACTCTAAGTAACTTAGTAGTCATAGCAGTTGAGAAAATGCCCTAAATTATGCTCAGTTTAGAAATTCAAAACTTGGAAATACTGCCTTGTCATTGTATTCAAGATGTTTTCTGTACCGCATTTCAGCCCAGAGTACATTAGCAGTGGAAGAAGAAAAGAAGTGGGAAGAAAAATGCAATAGAATTTGTAACAAAATGGTAAAACCCAGCTAAAGCCATGACAGTCACGTACATTAGCAAAAGGGACCTTGTCACCTGCATCAAGTGCTTCCTTTCACAACACCATGGCACAGCCCCATCTCACATTCCGTCTCTGAGACACAGGTGCAAAGGAGATGGGTGGTTTGATGCAAGCTATCCATGCAGCCAAGAAATAATGTTCCCTTCCCTGAGGTACAGGCAAGTCCAGTCATGGATTATGTGCTTGGTTTTCCTCAAGCCACAGCCTCTACTTGTGTTGGTACATGGTTTCCCAATACCAGCCTTGACTTGTCCTCTAGGTGGCAAGTTGCCCCATACCTCTTCCCAAGCCTCAGCCACATGTCCAAACAGAGGGCAGTCCCCCAGCCTCACCCTCTGGTTGCCCCAGATTTTCTTGAGAGACTTCTCCCCAGTATTTCCAGTGCCACACCATCCCAGCAGGATGTGCTGCACAGCCCTTGGCTGCGCAGGTACCTCTGTCTCAGCAAGTGGTGTTCCTTACGGGACGCTCATTTTGGTCGGAGCCAGCACATTCAGTAATGGGCAACGGCATGTTTGGAAATAACTCATTTGAAGTATACTTGTAGAAAAAGTATAAAGGAATAAAGCATAAATGACGAGAAGCCTGTAGCCCTTCTAGATATACGAGGTTATTCTTATACAAGGATTCTGTAACACTGTAAATTCCAGGGTTATGGGTGAGTAACTGAGACTGGAATCTGACCCCTTATGCCTGAAAAATTCCTTAGTTGTTATTTGGATGGAAATAATACAAACCATTATTTTAAAATAATGCTGGCTGAGCTTGGGAAATTCACATTCAAATAGTAAGAAATGGTAATTTTAAGTTTACCAAGCAAACATAATCTTTCTGCACAAGTGCGTATCTTATATTCAGTGAGGCAAGGCTCCTGGGGAAAATGACAAGTGTAATTAAAACCTGTCTCATCATGCATGCACACAGGAGAGGGCAAGCTGTGATTGTAATGGCAACTGCTCCTAGCAGGTGTTCTTCTTTTAGCATGGGGTATTAAATGAAACCTCCTGTGTTTATTAACCCAAATACTGTCCTGTATGCTTCTAACAGTGCCTCTGTAACGTGTTGCAAACAAGGCTGAACTTGAACTATATCTTTCAGCATAAACTTTTGTCTTCAGAGGTACAAAACTACCTACCTTAGCTGAGACTGTTACAGGGACCTGGAACACTGCTGATGCTGCAAATTCTTTCGCACTTTGTAGCTCTGGAGGTTGTTAGTTTTCCGTGCTGAAGATCTTGGGCTCGTTATGGCGTGGTGGGGATCCTCCACAACTGGTGGGGGAGAGGAGGAAACTCTGCCAGAAGCGCTGTCATGTCTTGCCTGCAATTGTGAGAGGATGAATGTGATCAACTACATTTTTAATAAAAAAGAGTCACAGAAGGGGAGGAGGCAGAACTGGAGCCGGGCACTGGCTTTGGAGGTGGTTGGGCATAGTCTGAGCCTGACGTGTTGCTTCAGAAGGGCAAGGTGCTGGGTCTGAAGGAGGAGGAAGCTTGGCTCTACTCTTCCCCCTGCGATACTTGATAGTTCCCAGGCACCCCCAGTGCTGTCAGACTACGTGGGCTTTTATGACTTTTATTTCAAGTTCATTTGTTATTTGCTGCCAGAGTTCTCCCAAGGAATGTAGACAAGAGGTGGTAAATGGTGATTAATTTAGACAACCTAACTAGAGGACTCATGATGAGGGCTCCCCATGTAATACAAGAAAGTTAACAGCTTGCTGATGTCCTTTTGTGAGTGAATTGTGTAGCCTGGTTGTTTAACGGAGTGTTTAAAAATTGTGTTGGCAATAGCCTATGAATAATGTATACAGGAATAATGAACTGCTTTCTTACTGCTAAGAAACTGCTGATATGCTGGGGAACTTTCCATCAGATGTGAGAACAATTTTGAAAGCGCTGTCTTCTTGGGATGCCCTTTATTTATCGTCTTGCTGCTTCAGAGGTTGCATTCTCTTTTTAGATACTGCATGTGAAGATGCCCTCCACTGCTTCTGCCTCTGTCTTCCAGCTTCACCTGATTCCCTTTGCTTCTGTCTGTAAAAGCTCCTGAATTTTGATGAGTTTAGGCTTTATTAAATGAGAACCATAAGCATGGAGATATTTGCTGTGCAGCCTTCAGGCATTCTAGGTACCTGCACCAAGGCACATTGCATCAAAGGAAGATGGTTTTGTGTCATGGCAATGTCCCATGATGCAGGAAGCAGAAATAGGGCCAAGTGATTTGGAAAAAAAGACCAATGTTTCTTTTGCAGGGGAGCTCTGGAGGTTGCACTGCCTTAGCTGCAGGAGGAAACAGGCCTCCTAAAAGACCCTAGGACATAGCTCATCAACAGTGCAGGCACATGAGACAATCACAGTCTCTTCCCTTGCTCCTTGCTTTGGCCCTCAGCTGCACTCCAGGAGAAAATAAAATTGTAGCTTTGTCTCTCATGCGGGGTTTTCCCCACCTGCACTAAAATGCAGAAATATCACAGGAGGGCAGGTGAACACAGTATGTATTTTATCACTGTCCAGAGTGGTCTCAGCTAAGTGTACGGTAAGAGCAGATCGAGCTTGTGGAGTGTGTAGCTATGCGCCCTGCCTCTGCTGTGGCTTTGTTATGAGTAGCCTAGTGCTCATGCTGCATTTTTCTGTCTAGATTTACACAACAGAGCCCTGAGTCAAAATGTTTCCTGCAATATGGGCAATATATTATTAGTGTAATGCTAGAACAAAGCAGCATGTGATTGATGTTGATATTAGTCAGCTGAGGAAGTGACATCCCCACCTGGGAGGTTGATGTGATGGGTTTTGAAGTCATGTGGTGATGCCAACAGCAAGCTCCAGGCATGAGGCTACAGGGCAGGAGAGAGAATGGGTTAGAAGAGAGGTTGTATCCTCAGGGTGATCTGCAACTGGCTAAGCCAGAGGATTCACCAAAATGGGAGGGAAGATTGGCACTTTTATTGGGTTTTTTGCTGCTGGGATATTCCTGGGGAGTGCAGTATTTTTGCAGCTACAGGAAAGGAGGTGTATAAAAGGGATTAGTCTAAACACAAGAGAGGTGGCAAGGACCACCAGAAGAGTTTGTTTTCAGTAGGACAAATTAAGAGAAAAGGTATCAGAAACTTCCTCCATCACCACCACCCAAAACCCATCCTGCCAGCCAAGAAATGTTTTCAGCTGAGAGGATCACAAAGGTCTAGGCTGAGGATCATGGTCAAGTTTAACCAACCTTTCTCAGGGTAGAAATGCTGCTAGCTGACAGCATACCTGAAAGAGCAGCTTTCAAAAGGAAGGAGACAGTTCTGTTATGCAGTTTATTCCACTGATGCTTCTGATGATCCTATTAATTTCTCTTTTTTTAATGTTTCTTTCTTTTAGGTGAAGAGTGAAGGCCCCAAACTGGTGCCCTTCTTTAAAGCCACTTGTGTCTATTTTGTCCTCTGGCTGCCAACTTCCAGCCCCTCCTGGTTCAGTGCCCTCATCAAATGTCTGCCCATCTTCTGCCTGTGGGTCTTCCTTCTGGCTCATGGAATTAACTTCTTAGTGTCACATCGGAGCGCCAGCCGCATCCTAGCGGGACTCATATTCTCGGCAGTGGGAGATGCCTTTCTCATCTGGCAGGAGCAGGGCTACTTCATTCATGGTGAGTGCGTGTCAGTCCTAAAGGGATGCCGCAGTGTCCAGCTGTTACCCTCTTATTTAGTAATGAGTTGCTGGGCCACGTGTTTTGTTTATTCATGTACAGCTTAAGCCCTGGGCAGTGGGAAGCACTCATCCCTTGACTAAAATCCATCATGGTTAGGGGAGTAACACCATAGATGAGTCTTTCTCTTGAGCTTCTCTTGAGGTCAGAGAGGTAATTGGGACAGGTTTGGTTCCCTGGCACGTGTTCACAGCATCTCAGCTGGCTGGAGCTGGGAAGGTGGCATGGGCAGAATCCCTGGGGAAGAGAAGGAAATGCTCATGGCACATGGCAGCTCCCATGAAGGTACGGGAAGTATCTACCTCCTGTCTCTCTGCAGGGAGATCTGTCAGCCCTTCACTACAAGGATCAGAAATAGCACACATTTCTGCAAAGGTCCTCAGGTGGAGAGCACCCTTATGTTTTGATAGACAAGCCTGTAGCCTGGGGGAGATGTTTATGTGGATGCTAGAAACCAAAGCATCAGAGATCTTGTCCTACTTGCAGGTTCATCATGTGAATCATGCAGCCTGTTGTGCAAGACATGTCTGTTTTGCAAGACATGTAAATGATGAGGAATCAAGGACAAACCTTACCACAATGGCCTGTCTTCTCTACAGAAGGATCCACATCTCTCAGAGCAAAACAAGCTTGTTTTATTTTGCTAGTTTGCAGACTAGAACATAATGATTTAGATTAATCATTTAAAGCCACGTTGAACCTGCCTGCAGCAACACTCTCCCTGGCCTTGGACTGTCACATGAAATCAGTAGCAGTTGAGTCCTTCACTAAAGTGACTGGTGGGGTTTCTGAAGTTAATTTAACCAGCACAGGGATCTCACGTAACACCCACCATTAACTGGCTGCTGTGACTGTCCCACTGGAAAAAGTGATGAGACGAGGGAACTTTTCTGACTTGTGCTGTTGTCAGCTCTGAAAGTCAAAGGCTTATTTTCTCCCCGTCTCATGAGGTCAGTATTTAGTTTTATTCTGGGTTTCCCACAAGCTCTTTCTTTATGAGAGGGAAGTGTGTGAAATGCCAGATATGAAAGGCCAAATGCTCTGAATCTGGTTTTAATCCTGCTTCCCAAGGGCTTATCCCAATCTCATTAAAAGTTCATGTAAAAATTTTTACTTATTTTGGTGGGGTTTAGATTAGGCCCTGAGGATTGGATCTATCTGGCTGAACCCTGGGCATGTTGCTGAGGAGCTCCAGCCTTCTCTTGGGGTGCCATCCCCTCTGTGCTGAGTGTTGGCATTCCCACTGACGGGCCTCCTCCTAACAGGGGTACCCGGCTCAGCACAGGTCGCCTCAGCCCAACTGCTTGTGCTTCGTTTTTCCCTCCTGGAGTTGCTCCTTGAGCTGTGGCTTGGAAAACATTCAAGGCCTGATTCTCCCCATGACCGTTTTTGTACATGGATTGTTCTGAGCTTCTCCGTTCCCACGTAGCTGGGATATCTCTGAGTTCTCTCTCCAATTTAGTGCTAGAGGAAGGTCAACCAGTCACGGCAATTCACGATCTGGTTAATGTGGTTTAATCTGCAAATAAATTGGATTTTCGACCCTAGTCTCACAATTGGGAAGTGTTGCTTTGTGGGTTTAGACACATTTTTCTTCTTAAGGAGAAGAAAAGCTCTCTTGGAGCATTTTGAAAATCTCAGCCTTCATCCTGGCTGTCTCCTGCCTGCCTCAGTCCATACTAATCTGAGCTACCATCTTCCGTGGTGAAGTGTTAACATTTGTGTTTCAGCTGTTAGCAGATAAAGCGCACCACCCCACTTCATCCTTCACCTCTCCTGCAAAACGTATTTTCTCCTATTTAAAACTCAGCAGGGTGCTGTTGTTGACAACTGACAATATTCAACCTTTTGACATCATTGTTCGTGGGAATTTGAAATTTCAGGAGAATAAGAGGAAATACTAGATAAAAATGTACTTTCTGTTCAATTTCTTCAGCTTTCAGGCTGAAAAAAAAGGGCTGGGAACTGGGCTGATTTGAATAGCTTTTGAGACAATGAGTTTATAAAAGGACATTTGTTCATTACTTTATAGGGAAGTGAGAGCCTGGGAACCTACTCCTGGCACACCTGACTTTTTCATTTTTGCTGTTTCAGACACGCTATTTTCTGACTAGTGTCTTACTGCATGTAGAAGATACTTTACAGTGTTAACATCCACCTCCTTTGATAGCAGGCACTTAAAAACAATTTATGCATTCGGTGAAGATGAGTGGGACTAACAAAAAAGACTTAGTGCCAGCCTGAGGGGAAACTCCAGGGGCAGGGACGGGGAAGGAAGCGGACAGAGAGAAGGGCTGATCTGCCTGATGTGGTTGGGAGGGCCGAGCCAAAGGCTGAGAAATGCAAGAGAAATGCACCCCCCTCCCTGTGCAGCCATCACAGGTTTGTTTTCCCAGTTCCTGGCTTGATTTGTGGGTGTTGAATGAACAAACCTGGGAGCTGACTCTCTTGTTTGTGACCAGCTTCACCACATATCACAAAACTCTTCCTGCCTTTCTGGGCTTCTGCTTGGCTGCCACATCCTGTCCTCCTCTCCTCCTCCTCCTCATTGCCAGGTGCCTGCATGAAGGACAACACATTCTTCAGTTCCCTATCCCAGAACTCTCCATATAATGCCATTGAAGAAAAAACCACTCCTCACTGCTAGGGCGAAGTAACCACCTTCTCCTTAGCGCCCTCAGGGCTCTAACCTTTCCTGCACTATAACCAGCTCTTGTCCTAAATCCCTCCTGTTTCCTCAGTGCTGTGCCCATGATGTGTAATAGCTCTGTGAAACATCAACTCGTTGCCCTCCTTTGCACTTCTCTTCCTTCCCCTTCATACTGTCCATTTTCTCCAGCCTCACCTTGCAGACCAGATCCCCACCAGTCCCCTCCCTCCTGCGGGTTCCTCTCTCATCCCACCATGGCTGAGCTTTCAGTGGATGTCCAATCTGGTCCTCCTCAAAGGCAGGGAAACAAGTCCCCTTCTTTGAGCTGCCTCAACACAAGAGTATTAGGATGAAGAAATGTCTGCCAGCAGCAGGTTTTAGTGACTGCCCTTTACGCCACAGCATCATGCTTTAAATGTAAACAAGTGTCCTGCTGGAGGAGTCAGCTTCCCAGATCCTTTTCTCCATTTCATGCTTTAGAGCCGCATGAAAACTTCCAGCTACTCTAATAACCCTGCCAGGATAAAGGGGGACAGCCTGCAGCTGCACCATGTGTGGGTCTGGGAACCAGAGGACCAGAGGAGCTGGACTCAGTTTGGGGCCCATTATTTACAATTGGCATGACAACTAGTAGTCAGCAGCTGTACCAACACATTGTGACATTTTTTGTCAAATGGATTAGTGGCAAGTGAATAACATATGGGCAGTACCTTCCAACACCCACATCTGGCATTTCTCAGGGGTATTGCACTTCAAAGGGAAGCTGGCATTTTATTTTCACTGATTGATTCCAGCTAAGGTTCATCTGAATCTTGCAAATAGCCATAAAATTGTTGGCAGATCACATTGGTGCAGTCCCTGAAATATGCCAGCTGCTTCTTTCCAGCTTAGGTTTCTCCTAGCTATGGGCAGAGATGGAGTAGAAGCCAGATTTAGTCCCTGAGTGCCTTTGGGTTTTTGGCTAAATATGGTCAGGCTTTGTGTCCGGGTTCGGAGGGATTGGTATCTTTTTTCACATTTTGTTCCTACACTGCTCTGATTCCAGCCTTCCTGTTCCACACGTGACCTATGAGCAAAACACTTTGGATAGTTAGAGGGGATGATCTTTGGTCTGCCTTGCCCCCACCCTTCCGTCCAAAGCAGGGGAGGAGGAACCACCTGAAAAACAAGCTTTGTTCCTTCTGCAGCAGCTTAGTTCACCTGGCCTCTCAGCAAAAAGGCTTGCATCACAACAGAGTTGTACTTGACTGCAGCTGTAGATGCGATGGGGCTTTTTCTTAGGGCGGGAGCTCGGTGCTAAAGCTGATGTCCTATGCACAGATTTTTATATTAAAATGGTCCTAAGTGATCAGTATGATTCCCACTGAATGAGTTGAGGGTTGTAACACTGCAAGGACATCTAAGCCTGTGCGTGTTGCGGTATGTTTTAAACCCAATATAGCCACGTTTTCTTCTGCTACCAACTGCCAGTCACACTTGCTATGTCAATGCCTCTTTCCAGGTCTGCTGATGTTCGCCATCACACACATCCTATACTCTTCAGCCTTTGGCATGAAGCCTTTGGACCTCAAAGCCGGCTTGTTGATGGGCCTTGTTTGCAGCTCCTGTTATGCCTTCCTGTACTCCTACCTCTCAGGCCCATTCACCTACCTGGTAGCTGTCTACATCGCCTTGATTGGCTTCATGGGCTGGCGAGCGGTCGCCGGCATGCAGCTGTGCAACGACCTCTGGACATGGACCAAGCTCTCGGCCTGCATCGGCGCGATGCTGTTCATGGTGTCGGATCTGACCATTGCACTTAACGAGTTCTGCTTTCCTGTGCCCTACTCGCGCTTCATCATCATGGCTACTTACTATGCAGCCCAAATGCTCATTGCACTGTCAGCTGTAGAGAGCAGAGATGAAGAGGACTTCAGAAAGAGAAGCTAGGTGGAGTGCCAATAGTCTGTGAACAATGTGGGTTATATCTCAGGTGCTGTAGCTGCATTCACCCCTGAGAGAGATCTCCATTTCTCTAGGCACATTGGTGATGTTGATTTTGCTTCTTTGAAGCATTACTTTTGGGGCTTTTTTTCCAATGGCTTTCTCTGAATACAGCTTACTTCAGTGTGGAGTCCACATCAGAAAGCTTAGACGGTCCCTGCAGTAGCTACTTATTCAACTTTTCCTCCTTGGAAGTGCTGTACTACTGCATTTTACTTGTTAGTCTTGAAACTGATGCTGAATGTCTGGGAAGAAGAGGGCTGATGGAAAGGAGGTTTGGCTATGCACTGTGCTAGAAGACTTGCTTTCAATAGTAGGCAGACAGGCACAGACCTCTGCTAAAGTCATAGGTAAAAATGAATTTAATCGATGTTTGTCTTTTTTTGTGCATTACAAACTCAATACACAAACTGGAGCTATTGCCTCTGCTGAAAGAATGCCTGGAGGTAGAGTAAAAACAGCATATCCAGATGAGGGCTGAGCTTTGGAGTCAACGACAGCATGTGGGGCAGCCCCCAGCAGAACCAGAATGAAAGCAAAACACCAAGCAGAGAGCACAGAGCAAGAGGAGTGCTGACATGCAGTGCTGTGGGCTTTGATCGCGGCTGACCACTGCTCCAGGGCAGGTTTGTAGGTGGCTGTCGGCGTTGCTGCGTGTGGCACGTGTCTTACTAATGTATGTCCTAATTGTCCTTAGTACGGCAGACAGGAATCTAACCTTTATGCCTTTCTTCCCCAGTATTCTAACAAACAATATTCCATACACTCATTAAGCTTTACAGTACTGCTGCTTGCAGTATCTCTTGAATCTTTGTGTGAGCATTTCCAGTGGTCAAGGCCCTGATTTTGGATGTAGATTGTTGTTGTGTTTTGCCAGCTGGTGGTAAACTATCAGCTTTGCACTACTTGTTTTTGGAAAGCCTCTTTTCAGTAGAGCTTCCTGAAAAGCACCATCCTGTGTGTTTGAAGTGCCTGCCGCTTCCTTCTCAAACTCACATGGATGCAGTGAGAATGTGAGAGCCATCAGGGCTGGGAAAGCCAGTTTAATTCTGATCCAAATTCTTTGGTTGGTTTGTCTGCCAATCTGCTGAAGCAAGATTACTTCTGACTTCAGACTCTCTTAAGAGAGGTTGCCCTTTTTAATCCAAGTTCATTTGTAATCATATGTGTATTTTTTCCTCTGATTTAGGATATCTAACAGCAAGCTCTGTTTCTGTTTGAAACTATCTTGAATGTGCTTTTTCCTTCTGTCCATCCTAGGGCCACTCCCATGGGCTGATATGCTCCCCAAACGGCTCGTTTTAAGACACGAGTGCACTCAGGTGTGCAAAGGATTTCTGCACCTCTTCTGCACCTCTTCAAACGTGCAGCCAAACAGGGACAACCAAAACAGACTGCATGACTCCAACGCGTGCATGCCCCAACAGCCCCTTGCACACGCTCACGTGGGCAGAGTGAACAGGAGGGGCAGCCCTCGTGGGCTGAAAATCACCACGGTCTCCATAGCTAGCGTTCCCAGACCATTCCAGGTGAAAGCCTGGCACCGAGTCCCCGGCACAGTCGGCAGAGAAGGAATTCCTCTTTGTGAGGAGGGCGGCAGGGTCAGGGGGCAGCTGAGGCAACCCTACCAACCCTGCTAGCTTTTCCCTTGGTGTGGAGAGGTGCTAAGTGGGTCTTCTGCTCCTCCCTAGCCTCGTGTGGTGGGACTGGGTGTGGAATAGGCATTGCCTCCCCACGACTTCTGTATTAGTGCAAATGCAGCCAGTATTACAAAAATCTAGGTTAACCATCCTGACCCCATGGAGTCATCTGCTGCTTTTCAGACAGAGATCAGAAAGCTCAGCTGCATTATTGAGAGGGAAAGCATTGTAAATAGCACAGCCCCGTGTAATCTCTTCCCTTTAATGCTGTTGTGTAATATTGTCAGTATTCATTCACTGGCACACCGGGCCTGTCTCGAGTAAACTGCTAAGGGAATTTAGAGCCATAAAACATCTTCATTCATCAGCATTGCTTATCTCCTGGCTGCAGCTTGAACCCTGCAGTGTAGCTCTCTGCGGATGTCACCTGCTGTTACTCAGCTTGACTGTTTGCAAATATCTTCCTGCAACAGCCTGACCCGACTAAGAGGAAATCTAAGCATTTGGGGTGAACCCCACCGTCCTCCCAGCATGTCAGCAAACAGCACATTTCAGTCTCATTTACAGCTCCTTGTCATGGGTCAGTCCAGCACACTCAGTCCTTGGCTGGCAGTTCTTCAGAGGAGCCCTCCGCACCCTGAGCTTCCCTTTGCTTTGAGGAAAATGCATGTGTGATAAAGTAATCTTTATTTAAAAGTTAGAATTTTGATTACCTCTTTCTTCCCCTTTAGAAATGAGTAGTCTTCAATTTCCTGAAGATGGCTGAGTTGCTTTTCTGCATGCTTTTTCATCGTGGCTTGCTTTGTTATCCTGCTCCACCATCAGCCACTGGATATTTGCAGAAAAGGATCTTTTAAGTGTTATTAGAAGGCCTGCCCTCTCTTCTTCACTGGCCCTCAGAGGTGCAGTTTCTGGTGGCAGAGGTCTCTGGGTGGCTCTAGCTGGGACAGTCCAAGTGGGCTGTTGTTCCCTTGCTGTCCCCTCACCTGGAGCGGGCTGTCTGGGACGCATCCTGGCCAGCGACGCTGGCTCCGTCCCAGTGCTGCAACGGCTTTAGCCTTCCCAGGAACATGAGGCAGAGCCCTCAGCATACAAAGTCAGGGAGAGTCCTGGCTGGCTTGGAGGTTTGCCAGAGAAGGCTCTCAATCTTCAAAACCTCTCTCCTGCTCTGCATTCCTCCTTTTAATCCATATTACTTGAATGAGACCATTTTCCTGGAGGCTCTTTCCTGCTGGGAAGAGACCAGCTGCTGTGGACACTGATTTGACACAATTCTGCGTTTCATAAACCCTGAGAAACACTAAGCAGTTGCTGACAGTCTGTTAAATACCTTTTCTTGGGATTAAAACTGTTCCCTCAACCCCAGTGAGGGCAATCTTCACTTTGAAAGGGAGCAAACAAGAAGTGGGAATGACGTCACTGTCTGTGGCATTGCCTTTGTGGACCTTCCTGTTGTCTCTTTGCACTGTAAAACTGCGAGGTTTGATCCATTCTTCTCCTTTTCAGGGGTACAGTCTTTGAGAAGCACCCAGTCTTTGGACAAACTTTGCAGAATTTTGTAGTGGCTCTTCAAAGTTTTCCAGTCCCATAGTTTGACACTAACACCTGTATGTTTTCAGCTTGCTATCGTGGTAATTTTGGGAGCTTTTCTGGAAGCAGCAGATCAAAGCAAACAGCAACTGTAAAGCTCAGTGGCAGGTGCCTCTTTCTCTTTGCTTGGTTTCTGGACCAAGAGACAGGGGCTCTTTTAAGCAGAGGCATCATAACTGTATTCTTGGAAGAGAATGGGAAGTTGCTGACTTCTCATGACAGAAGTCCTCCTGGGTACTTCTCCTGCCTTTTATCCATGCTTGCTCCTTTTGTGGGCTTGGGTAAGTCACTTAAATTTTCTGGGGCCAGGTTCTCATCTGGTGTAAAAAGGCGCAAGTGTATGAAGGCCAGTGCTATGCCAAGTTACAACAGCAGGGGACCAGGCCCTCACCCCATTTCTAAAATGGGGATATTAGCACTTACCTACCTCACAAGGATGCTGTGAGGATTAATGCTCATACAGCGCTTTGAAGATGTAAAGTGCTATGTAAGTCCCAAGTATTATCCTACCTTAGTGTTAAAAATGCTTTTAGGGATTTGCAGGACTTCTCTTAAAGCATGGAATGTATGACTGCCTTTTCAATTTGCATCAGATGGAAAGCAAATGCAAAATAGTTATTCATACTGGTTAACAGGATGGGCTCAGCTGCACTTGAACTCTGAGGAAGGTTTAGCTTAAAAGTCGGAACTCTAATTTCAGTTTTGCAAATGGTTTTTAGTTCTTCTAAAAGCCTTAACCAAATTCTTAGACGTCAACTTTGCATCCAAATTTTGCAGTCTGGTCTTATCCCTGACCGTTAGCTAGAATAAATCTAATCCAGCCAAAACACAGTGCTGTCACAGTCTGCCTATGGCTATTGAAAAGACTGTAACAGAAAATGAAGTTATTCTGTTCAGCCTTCTTTCTGCAGAGGGTCAGCTAGGTTTCATGGGACAACTTGCAAAGGGATGTTTAATTTCTGTGATTGTAAATTTTACTGGCTTTAAAATCAGGAGAGAGGGAAGGCCTTGATGGAATCAATAAGGTCAGTACATCCTTCTTGAATTACTTCCTTTTCACCTGAATCAAACAAATAGCAGGTTCTGTAGCGAAGGAAGTGCTTGTACCACCAGTCCTAGGGCCCAGAACAAAAGTTGGTCTAGAAATACAGCTCTAAACCATCACCATGTTCTCAACTAGTATAAAAATGTCACTGTTCACTGATTTCAAATCGGACCACGGCTAGAAACTACTTAGTTCTGGTAGCACTAGCTGCTGTACAAACACAAATGAAGGCAAGGAATTAACACCAAGGAACGTGAGATGTGTACACGTGAAATGGACCATAATATTGAAGCAGCTGCAGTAAAATCTTATCTTAATATGAACTCGAAGCAAACACAATGCAAATTTTTATGGTTTCTTTAAAATGTTTGATGGGTTTTAGTTTTCTTAGTTTGGAGGAAATTTTCTTAATGTTATTTTATTTTTGCTCTTATTGTAAAGAATAAAAAGATACAACACTAGATAG